ATGCTCAACATACTGGGAGTCACTATGTTCATGCTCACACGGGGAGTCACTATGTTCATGCCAACACACTGGGAGTCACTATGTTCATGCCAACACACTGGGAGTCACTATGTTCATGCTCAACACACTGGGAGTCACTATGTTCATGTCAACACAACACCTGGGAGTCACTATGTTCATGTCAACACACTGGGAGTCACTATGTTCATGCTCAACATACTGGGAGTCACTATGTTCATGCTCAACACACTGGGAGTCACTATGTTCATTCACCAACACTGGGAGTCACTATGTTCATGTCAACATACTGGGAGTCACTATGTTCATGCAACATACTGGGAGTCACTATGTTCATGCAACCACTGGGAGTCACTATGTTCATGCTCAACACACTGGGAGTCACTATGTTTCATGCTCACACACTGGGAGTCACTATGTTTCAATGCTCAACACCTGGGAGTCACTATGTTCATGCTCAACACACTGGGAGTCACTATGTTCATGTCAACACACTGGGAGTCACTATGTTCATGTCAACACACTGGGAGTCACTATGTTCATGTCAACACACTGGGAGTCACTATGTTCATGTCAACACACTGGGAGTCACTATGTTCATGCTCAACACACTGGGAGTCACTATGTTCATGCTCAACATACTGGGAGTCACTATGTTCATGCTCAACACACTGGGAGTCACTATGTTTCATGCCAACACACTGGGAGTCACTATGTTCATGTCAACACACTGGGAGTCACTATGTTCATGCTCAACACACTGGGAGCACTATGTTCATGCTCAACACACTGGGAGTCACTATGTTCATGTCACACACTGGGAGTCACTATGTTTCATGTCAACACACTGGGAGTCACTATGTTCATGTCAACACACTGGGAGTCACTATGTTCATGCAACACACTGGGAGTCACTATGTTCATTCTCAACACACTGGGAGTCACTATGTTCATGTCAACACACTGGGAGTCACTATGTTCATGTCACACACTGGGATCACTATGTTCATGCCTCACATACTGGGAGTCACTATGTTCATGCTCAACACACTGGGAGTCACTATGTTCATGCACACACCTGGGAGTCACTATGTTCATGCTCAACATACTGGGAGTCACTATGTTCATGTGCAACATACTGGGAGTCACTATGTCATGCCAACACACTGGGAGTCACTATGTTCATGCTCAACACCTGGGAGTCACTATGTTCATGCCAACACACTGGGAGTCACTATGTTCATGCTCAACACACTGGGAGTCACTATGTTCATGTCAACACACTGGGAGTCACTATGTTCATGTCAACACACTGGGAGTCACTATGTTCATGTCAACACACTGGGAGTCACTATGTTCATGTCAACACACTGGGAGTCACTATGTTCATGCACACACTGGGAGTCACTATGTTCATGTCAACACACTGGGAGTCACTATGTTCATGTCAACACACTGGGAGTCACTATGTTCATGCTCAACACACTGGGAGTCACTATGTTCATGTCCAACACACTGGGAGTCACTATGTTCATGCTCAACATACTGGGAGTCACTATGTTCATGCCAACACTGGGAGTCACTATGTTCATGCCAACACACTGGGAGTCACTATGTTCATGCTCAACACACTGGGAGTCACTATGTTCATGCTCAACACACTGGGAGTCACTATGTTCATGCCAACACCTGGAGTCACTATGTTCATGCTCAACACACTGGGAGTCACTATGTTCATGCTCAACATACTGGGAGTCACTATATTTCATGCTCAACATACTGGGAGTCACTATGTTTCATGCCAACACACTGGGAGTCACTATGTTCATGCTCAACATACTGGGAGTCACTATGTTCATGCTCAACACTGGGAGTCACTATGTTCATGCCAACACCTGGGAGTCCTATGTTCATGCCAAACACTGGAGTCACTATGTTCATGTCAACACACTGGGAGTCACTATGTTCATGCTCACACACTGGGAGTCACTATGTTCATGCTCAAACACTGGAGTCACTATGTTCATGTCCAACACACTGGGAGTCACTATGTTCATGCCAACACACTGGGAGTCACTATGTTCATGTCAACACACTGGGAGTCACTATGTTCATGTCAACAACTGGGAGTCACTATGTTCATGCCAACACACTGGGAGTCACTATGTTCATGTCAACATACTGGGAGTCACTATGTTCATGCTCAACACACTGGGAGTCACTATGTTCATGCCAACACTGGGAGTCACTATGTTCATGCCAACACACTGGAGTCACTATGTTCATGTCAACATACTGGGAGTCACTATGTTCATGCTCAACACACTGGGAGTCACTATGTTCATGCCAACACACTGGGAGTCACTATGTTCATGCCAACACACTGGATCACTATGTTCATGCCAACACCTGGGGTCACTATGTTCATGCTCAACACACTGGGTCACTATGTTCATGTCAACACTGGAGTCACTATGTTCATGCCAACACACTGGGAGTCACTATGTTCATGCAACACACTGGGAATTCTTCCCAAAGGTCAAGGAATACCATGATCATAACACCAGAGGGAGCTCCACATCATGTAAAACCCAGATTTGGCACAAAAAAAGGGGAATACACATATCGCAATTATGCCACATCAAGGTGGAACGCTCTTCCCACACAACTGTAAAGGAAAGTAAAACTATACTTACCTTCAAAACCTCTCTTAAAGAGCACCTTCGGGGGAAAGCATTGCAAAACTGGCCCCGGTAATGGTACAAATCTCAACCTGTCGTACAATGGACAGCTTCCCCCCCCCATCTATGTATATACTCGCATTTTAGACTCTGTTACTAACTATATCTGTAGACTTGGTATGTCTTAAATGTCCGGTTAGGATGTATTAGAACGAAATCTAAATGAAAATTGTAAATAAGCCATCTGTATGTAAAAACCACCTGTATGTAAATTGTAAATAAGCCATCTGTATGTCAAATATGTCTTATATGTCTTAAATGATATGATGAATTGGAAATGGGGGACCCTGATGTAAACAAGACGAAAGTCTTTCTCTGGTCTGCATCCCCTTAACAATTGTATGTTTTGAGCTGTACTGTACTGTACCCAATATACAAGCTGTTAATAAACTTTTCAATCAATCAATCAATCAGTCACTATGTTCATGTCAACACACTGGGAGTCACTATGTTCATGCTCAACACACTGGGAGTCACTATGTTCATGCTCAACACACTGGGAGTCACTATGTTCATGCCTCATGTGGATAAACAAGAAAAAGGTTTATTATGAACACAAACAATCCACATTAATATTGTCAAAAAATGGGAGTAAGAAAGTTGAAAGTGTGAATATTGAATCGTCTCTTTTTGTTCTAAATGTATCCGAAGCATCTGTGACTGTCATGTTGTTTTCTTTGATCGCAGTGTGTGTTGTGTAGTGTGTGTGTGTGGTGTGTGTGTGTGTGTGTGTGTGTGTGTGTGTGTCTGCTTGCTTGTGTTCTCCATATTTTACAAGAGGCAGTGGTTTGAATCGTCAGAGTTGTTGTAAGATGTCTACAATACAGAGGAGACCAGTCGCTCCGCCTGTCATCGAGGATAGGAGTCGAGGACGCGGTCCGGACCTCGGTGACCTCAATGGTGGATACGGCCCACCCCCCTCCCCCCAGCCATCAGCTGATTTAAATGACCGGGTCACAGGTCACGCTCTTATTCTGAAAGTCTGCCGGAAGCTGCCTTGTTGTTCCTCACAGCTGACGACAGTGAGCGTTAGCATTAGCATTAGCATTCCTCGCAGATTATACTTCTTGATAATATCATATATAGATCTGGACCCGGACCTCTGTCTCTGGACCCGGACCCCTGTCTCTGGGACCCCCTGTCTCTGGACCCGGACCTCTGTCTCTGGACCCGGACCTCTGTCTCTGGGACCCCTGTCTCTGGACCCGGACAGTAAGTCTCGCTTTGCTTTAAAACACTTCATCTGGAGCTCCTGTAATGAGCTGCGCAGATTCTTATCTCCTAAAGAAACTTCACAGTTAAAAATGAACTGTTGAAAGAGTTTCAGGAGAGAAACTAAATATTAATATGAGTTTTTAATCAAATACAGGACCGATAAGAGTGGATAACAACATCATATACTAACTGTTAGATATCCTTTAAGATGTGTAAGTATAGTTAGATATATATAGTTGGATATAACATAAGGACAATGAACCAGGTAGACAGGTGGCTAACATTAGCTAGCACCTGACAGGCGGCTAACATTAGCTAGCACCTGACAGGTGGCTAACATTAGCTAGCACCTGACAGGTGGCTAACATTAGCTAGCACCCTGACAGGTGGCTAACATTAGCTAGCACCCTGACAGGTGGCTAACATTAGCTAGCACCCTGACAGGTGGCTAACATTAGCTAGCACCCTGACAGGTGGCTAACATTAGCTAGCACCTGACAGGTGGCTAACATTAGCTAGCACCTGACAGGTGGCTAACATTAGCTAGCACCCTGACAGGTGGCTAACATTAGCTAGCACCCTGACAGGTGGCTAACATTAGCTAGCACCCTGACAGGTGGCTAACATTAGCTAGCACCCTGACAGGCGGCTAACATTAGCTAGCACCCTGACAGGCGGCTAATATTAGCTAGCACCCTGACAGGTGGCTAACATTAGCTAGCACCCTGACAGGCGGCTAACATTAGCTAGCACCCTGACAGGTGGCTAACATTAGCTAGCACCCTGACAGGTGGCTAACCTGTTACCCAGGTGCGATCTAAAGGTTCTTGTTGTCCCTCCCCAGGTGCGATCTAAAGGTTCTTGTTGTCCCTCCCCAGGTGCGATCTAAAGGTTCTTGTTGTCCCTCCCCAGGTGCGATCTAAAGGTTCTTGTTGTCCCTCCCCAGGTGCGATCTAAAGGTTCTTGTTGTCCCTCCCCAGGTGCGATCTAAAGGTTCTTGTTGTCCCTCCCCAGGTGTGATGCAGCATGTCTCTGCAGGAGGTCTTGCAGCGCGCATCTCTTCAGCTCAGAGTCTGCTGCAGCAGGCGCAGGATCTGTGTGGGGGGGGGGCGTGTGGAGGGGGGGGGGCAAGCTGCTGGGGAGGCTGCGGGCCGAGCTGCGCTTCCTGCGGCGGGTGCAGAGTGAAGGGGGGGGGTGAAGGCGTCTCCCTGCACAGCAGCAACCTGCGCACCTGACGGCCATCGTGGAGTCTCTGCAGAGCGTGGGGGGGGGTGGTGGCCCTGCTGCACGTCTTCAGGTACACATTCACTCACTCACTCACTCACACACTCACTCACACACTCACTCACTCACTCACTCTCACACCCACTCACTCACACACTCACTCACTCACTCACTCACTCACTCACACACTCACCCACTCACTCACCCACTCACTCACCCACTCACTCACTCACTCACACACTCACTCACTCACTCACTCACTCAGTCACTCACTCACTCACTCACTCACACACACACACACCCACTCACCCACTCACTCACTCACCCACTCACTCACTCACTCACTCACTCACTCACACACACTCTCACTCTCACTCTCACTAACTGTGTCTCTGCCTCCTGTCTCCAGGTACACAGACTCAGCGGGGGATCCTCGCTCGCTGCAGGTGGACGTGGTTTCGGACGGGGGGCTCACCTGGGTGAAGGCGGTGGGGAGGAAGGCTGAAGCTCTGCCCAAGGCATCTGGCAGGGGGGGGGGGTCAGTACGGAGAGAAGAGCATCATCAGCCAGGCCAGAGGACTTCCTGTCTGCCGCCAACAGCAGGAAGTCCAGTAACAAACACCCCCACGTCGTCTTCGCCTTCTACAACGGGGTCTCCCACGCCATGGCGCAGCAGCTCGGGGTCATGGGGGTCAGCGTCAGGGGGGGACATTGTGGCCGTCAATGCCATATGGGGGAGGAGCCAGAGGGAGAGGGGGAGGAGCCCAGAGGGGGAGGAGCCAGAGGGGGAGGAGTCGGATGAGGACGGGGAGGAAGAGCCACCCTCCCCCATCGTGGCTGTCAATGCCATGATGGAGGAGGGGGAGGAGCAGCCAGTTGGGGAGGGGGAGGGGCAGGGGCCAAATGAGGGGGAGGAGCCTGGTGAAGGAGAGGAGGCTGGTGAAGGGGAGGAGCCTGGTGAGGAGGAGGAGCCTGATGAGGACCCCTCCCCCTCCAGGGTGCAGCGTGGCAGGGTTCTGGCCCGCCTCTCCTTCCCTGCTCAGCGCCTCCCTCTCTCCTGCCTCAGAGTGAACCTGGACATCACGACTCTCATCAGCTGCGTGTCCTCTCTGAGTCATGGCGGCTGCTTCTTCTCCTTCAGAGAGGGTGTTTCTGACAGAGCAGGGCGGCTCAGGAGCGTCTGAGCCCTGTCCTGCCGCAGCTCAGAGCCTTCATGGAGGGGAAGCAGCTGTTCGCCTGCAGCGCTGCAGTGACAGACTTCCGGTTGATCCTGGAGACGCTGGGGGGTCCGGGGGAGAAGCAGAGAGGGGAGCAGCTGCTGAGGAGCCTCACTCTGATGGAGGACCAGCCGTCTCAACGCTCTCTGAAGCTCGCGCTCAGCCACAAGGTCACACAGCGCTCCGTCAGCATCTTCGGCACCGGGGACTCGCTCAGAGCCGTTACCATGACAGCCAACGGGCGCTTCGTCAGGGCGGCGGGCCAATCAGGGCGTCCGATACAACGTGTTCATGCACCAACCCAGAGCGCTGACGGAGGGCAAGGAGTGGAGGGCCACGCCCCTCTGAGCGCCATCTTTATGTCATGTGATCATCAATAAAGCCTCACTTCCTGCTCTGATGTCACTTCCTGTTTGTCACACAAGCTACTGCATTTACCAAAACACAAGTTTCAGGGAAAGTGGGTCTGATGAAATATAAATACATATTAAATATATATATTAAATATAAATACATGGAGAAAAAAATATATACATATAAAATATATATTTTAAAATATAAATACATGGAAAAAATATATATACATATAAAATATATACATATTAAAATATTTATATTTAGGTTTGATGTGTTTATTGTGTGCATTTGTTTGAATATAAAGAATGCTGCATTTATTCTGTGTGTTGGATTAAAGTAATATTATTATAACTCATAACAATCAGGTTATTAATACATGTAGTGATAATAATCATGTTATTAATACATGTAGTGATAATCATGTTATTAATACATGTAGTGATAATAATCATGTTATTAATACATGTAGTGATAATCATGTTATTAATACATGTAGTGATAATAATCATGTTATTAATACATGTAGTGATAATCATGTTATTAATACATGTAGTGATGATAATCAGGTTATTAATACATGTAGTGATAATAATCATGTTATTAATACATGTAGTGATAATCATGTTATTAATACATGTAGTGATAATAATCATGTTATTAATACATGTAGTGATAATCATGTTATTAATACATGTAGTGATAATGCATGTTATTAATACATGTAGTGATGATAATCAGGTTATAATACATGTAGTGATGATAATCAGGTTATTAATACATGTAGTGATGATAATAATCATGTTATTAATACATGTCGTGATAATCATGTTATTAATACATGTAGTGATGATAATAATCATGTTATTAATACATGTCGTGGTGATAATAACAACATTGATATACATATTCTTTATAACTGATGAAATATAAACAGGAGTTTCTTCCAGTCTTCGTGCTTTTAATCTGAAAAGCTGGAAGGGGCCGTGGGTGTGTCCCTCTAGCTGTTAGCATGTTAGCTTGTTAGCTGCGGGTGTTCCTGAGTTTCTGGATGAAATGAGAGTCGGATCCGGGGAGGAACTGCGGACTCTGAAGGAGGTGAGGACCCCCCCCCCCACACACTTTATTTACTCAACACTAAACAACAACACCTGATGCTAACCGCTAGTGCAGCTCCATTCACAACGGTTAGCTTCGTTAGCTTATGCTAAAAACAAAAGTGTTCTCATCAGCAGCAGCGCGAGCCATCAGAGGCTCCTACAGTGCAATATGTATATATATATGTTATATAATGTATATATAAATATATATATATCCTCCTGGGACCCGAGGAATGTTTTCCAATCTCTATTTTTCATTTCCTACTTATTTAGTGTACGGTGGCCGGCAGGTGCAAACGCTGAACTACTACTTGGGGTTAAAAAAACATCTTGCAATTTAGACTTTTTTAATTGAATTGGATGTTTAAATGTTACAGTACGTCCACTGTAGAGGACGCCAGGACCATTTCAGTGTGAGAAGACATGAACAGATAGACTGTGTCCACTGTAGAGGACGCCAGGACCATTTCAGTGTGAGAAGTCATGAACAGATATGTCCACTGTAGAGGACGCCAGGACCATTTCAGTGTGAGAAGACATGAACAGATAGACTATGTCCACTGTAGAGGACGCCAGGACCATTTCAGTGTGAGAAGACATGAACAGATAGACTATGTCCACTGTAGAGGACGCCAGGACCATTTCAGTGTGAGAAGTCATGAACAGATATGTCCACTGTAGAGGACGCCAGGACCATTTTAGTGTGAGAAGACATGACAGATAGACTATGTCCACTGTAGAGGACGCCCAGGACCATTTCAGTGTGAGAAGACATGAACAGATATGTCCACTGTAGAGGACGCCAGGACCATTTCAGTGTGAGAAGACATGAACAGATAGACTATGTCCACTGTAGAGGACGCCAGGACCATTCAGTGTGAGAAGACATGACAGATATGTCCCTGTAGAGGACGCCAGGACCATTTTCAGTGTGAGAAGTCATGAACAGATAGAGTATGTCCACTGTAGAGGACGCCAGGACCATTTCAGTGTGAGAAGACATGAACAGATAGACTATGTCCACTGTAGAGGACGCCAGGACCATTTCAGTGTGAGAAGAACATGAACAGATAGACTATGTCCACTGTAGAGGACGCCAGGACCATTTCAGTGTGAGAAGACATGAACAGATAGACTATGTCCACTGTAGAGGACGCCAGGACCATTTCAGTGTGAGAAGACATGAACAGATTAGACTATGTCCACTGTAGAGGACGCCAGGACCATTTCAGTGTGAGAAGACATGAACAGATAGACTATGTCCACTGTAGAGGACGCCAGGACCATTCAGTGTGAGAAGACATGAACAGATAGACTATGTCCACTGTAGAGGACGCCAGGACCATTTCAGTGTGAGAAGACATGAACAGATAGACTATGTCCACAGTAGAGGACGCAGACCATTTCAGTGTGAGAAGACATGAACAATAGACTATGTCCACTGTAGAGGACGCCAGGACCATTTCAGTGTGAGAAGACATGAACAGATAGACTATGTCCACTGTAGAGGACGCCAGGACCATTTCAGTGTGAGAAGACATGAACAGATAGACTGTGTCCACTGTAGAGGACGCCAGGACCATTTCAGTGTGAGAAGACATGAACAGATAGACTATGTCCACTGTAGAGGACGCCAGGACCATTTCAGTGTGAGAAGACATGAACAGATAGACTATGTCCACTGTAGAGGACGCCAGGACCATTTCAGTGTGAGAAGACATGAACAGATAGACTGTGTCCACTGTAGAGGACGCCAGGACCCATTTCAGTGTGAGAAGACATTGAACAGATAGATGATAGGGACAGTGTTTCCCCTGGGTTTACTGCTTTTGGGGGGCTGCTGCCTGAGGGGGGGGGGTGGCCGTGTTTCCCTGGGTTACTGCTTTGGGGGGGTGCTGCCTGAGGGGGGGGGGGGGGGGGGGGGGGGGGGGGGGGGCAGTGTTTCCCCTGGGTTTACTGCTTTGGGGGGTGCTGCCTAAGGAGGGGGGAGGTGCTGCCTGAGGATGGGGGGGGGGGCAGTGTTTCCCCTGGGTTTACTGCTTTGGGGGGGCTGCTGCCTGAGGGGGGGGGGGGGGGGGGGGGCATTGGGATATATTTTTTTTAAATCTCCTCTGGAGCAGAGAGAGGAGCTGTGGACTATAAAGATAATAAAGAGCACATGTTCAATGTGAAAAGTGACAGTAGATATAGATTAGTTGCAATTTGGTGCTATATATATCTATATATATATCTATATATATATATATATATATATATATATATATTAAAAAAAAAATAATAATAAAAAAAATAATTAAAAAGATAATAATTATAATCTTTTTTTGAACACCTTGAATGTCAGGGGGGGCGTGGGGCTCCGTTGGCGAGAAAGAGAAAACACTGGGTTGTGTGATGATTAAACTTACCTCTGTCTGTTCTCTCTCCCAGGGTGTTCGGGCAAAAGAGTTCCCCCGGCCCCGCACACCTCTAAATATAGTTCCGGGAGGGAAACGGCAAAGTGGTAGTCTCCAGGGGGAGGTCGACATTTTTGCGCATAGATATTTGTATTTAATGTATATTGTCATAGATAGATAGATAGATAGATCGTACTTTATTGATCCCAAATTGGGAAATTGTTTTTGTTACAGCAGCATAACTTTATTCATGTGTATATTATTGGTAAATTGGTGGGGAAATATTTAGTAAATGTGTATATAGTTGTGGTAAATCGTTTGCTTAGATCAGTGGTTACATATAATTGTAACGCAATACATGATTGTCACTAAAAGCCTTTACATTACAATAAAATATAAAAAATAATTGATTAATTAATTTGAATAAAGATTCAAGTGAGTAGCTATTAAAGGCATAACAAGACAGACATGTATAATTCTTTCTTTATAGAAATGTTTCTTCTGCCCGTAAAGTGTCCAAACCAGGCTTTTCTGGATCAGCCATTGTCCATGCCGGTTTCACATTATTTGTCACAGTTGCTCCGATCAGATCGGTCTCCTCCATTTTGTAGATTATTTACGACTTTTGAATCCACATAAACACATCGGCAAAATCCGGCTTACTTTGAGCATGTTGTTTTAAAACAGTTGAATCCCTTTGTGAATTGTTTCCACTTGCGCCGTCCATTCATTTCTTCATACAGCGGGAATCCAAATGGATCCTGAGTCCAATAACCATCAAAGTCACTCTCACCCTCCTTTAACAACATACTTCACATTCATCCAGTTTGGGACAGGATGTAGCACTTTGAGACTTTTCAACTTTAATTACTGCTGTTGCCCCCCCCCCCCCCCCCTTGTGTGTGTGTGTGTGTGTGTGTGTGTGTGGGGGGGGCGCAACTTCCAACAGGAGTCATTTGGGGGGGCTCTTGGGAACAAAGGTTGGGAACCCCTTGCTTAGATTAATGATAATTGGTATGTGCCAGCCAATGAAGATCTGAGGCCTCCTATAAAAGGCAGTCAGTGTTGTTGAGAACGGGAGTTGTATACTGTGTGGGTGGTGGAGGACAGCCATGTGGTCACAGTGGATGGAAAATAATAAACAGTTTTCTGTGGAAAACACCAACCTGCCTGCTTCTTGCTTTTGCCTCCATGGCCGCTCTAACAAGTGGTGTCAGAAGTAAAGGCCTAACAAACACTTTGAGGAAAGACAAAGATGCCCTGAGGAACAAAGAAGCCAGCGCAACAGATGGAGCCAGATATGACGGTGCACCGGCTGTCCAGGTGACGGTTGCACCGGCTGTCCAGGTGACGGGCAGACTCTTGTCTGTTTCAATACATCCAGAGATTAGCAATTGGAGAGAAGAGTCCGTGCACCAAGAGCAGAGATGGAGGAACTGCACCTCGAGCCCAGGTGACAGAATTAAGAGAAGAATCGGAAAACAGAACCACGATGAGGAGGATGATGATGATGAGGAGGACGGGGAGGAGCTCAGGTTACGCCATTGGGGAGAAGAGCACCCACACTTCCGTAGAGACCCCAAGTTAATGCCACTCACTCCTGAAGATGATATTGAGCACTTTATGACAACGTTTGAAAGAATGGCCACTGTCTGCCTATGGCCAAAAGAAGATTGGGCTATTCAGCTTGTGCCACTGCTCACAGGTAAAGCACGCAGTGCCTTTGTTTTCATCACAGGACTCAGTAGAATACTGATCGGCAGCTGATGCCTACAAAAGAAGGTTTCGGTCATTGGAAATATATCGGGGGGAAACTCCACGTGAACTCTATGTACGGTTTAAAAGGACATTTTTTACAAATGGGTCAAACCAGGGCGATCCGATGTTGAAAAGATATCTGAGTTTGATGATACTGGAGCAGTTCTTGAGAATGGTGGACCCGGAGCTAGAGGTCTGGATCCGAGAGAGAGACCCGCGTCTGCTGAGGACGCCGCCAGACTAACAGAGGTTTCCTGTCAGCCAGAACCGGGACTAGAAGAACCACCTTCGGCCGCGAGGCATACTCGCTTGCACGCAAGTAAGTCCAATGGGGGGTGAATGGGGTGGGCAAAATGAGATTAGGCCTCAGCATCTTCACTAGTCCTAGCCTAGCTCCAAGTCGTTTCCCAGCGCAGACACACGCTGCTATCAGTTGTAACGGTTTAGGTCACATTCAGTATACTTGCCCAACAACCAGACAGAGCAAGCCAGCCCTGTTGTGTGTAGTTCCAGGACCCACCCACCCTGCCCCTGGTAATGCTGATGCGCTCATTGCCCCAGTGTTAGTAAATGGTCGGCGTGAAGAGGCACTCTTAGACTCTGGTAGCTTTCAGACGGTGGTTTGGCTAGCATAGTGCCTAGAGAAAGGTGGAGTGAGAAAAAGTGTAACATTAGTTGTGTCCACGGGTTGATGAAAAGTTGTACCCCACAGCTGAAGTTTATCTACCGTAGGGGGTCAGACTTACCTCCTCCCAGTAGCTTTAGTGCCTAAACTACCATACCCAGTTATCCCTGGCCATGATGTCTCCACACTGCTTGACTTGGGTAGATAAGGCTAAGGCTAACA